CAGTAGTCTTATACCAGGGCCCCTAGGAGCGACGGTTTAGTATATAGTAGAGTAGTTATTAGAGGCTGAGCTAGAGGAAGAGCGACGTAAGCTGACCGCGCCCGCCCCGGATACGGCCAAGCTTCCTAACAGAATCGAATCGATAATCGAGAAATCCGTAGCGAAATCGGTCGAAAAAGCGTTCACGAAGATTAATAATAAGCTATAGAATCCGAAGACTTAGGCGGGCGTCCTCCGGGGCGCACCCGACCCCTAGACTAACCGGAACACGACTCCCTTCCCTGCCTAGATAAGGCAGGAGAAACCAGTCCACTAACGATTTAACCGCGAACTTACGGTCCGTACCCGGGCCGCACCCGACTCGATTAAGAACCGAAGCCTAAAGGATATATATAACATAGTGAACGCGAGGATAGGTAGCGGTGGCCCTAGGTACCGAGGGGCTAGATAACTCTAGAGCGGCGATATAGTGCTCTCCTTCGAAGCGAATATTAACGGTATAGCGAAGAACTCGGGCTAGGTCTAGGCCGCTTTCGGGCCGGAAGTCACCCTCTATAAGAAGCTCTTTAACCTCGTGGTAAAAGGAGTCCCTATATAGTAGACCCGGGGCGAAAGAGGCTATACAGAGCTAGTAAAGGAAACCAAGAGATCGAACGCGTATAACGTAGTAAAGATTACTTAGATTAACTCGAAGAAAAGGCTCGTAACGAGGGCTACGATTATCCTATGCGTAGACGGCCTAGAAACGGCCAACCGCCTATGCGATTCCGGGGTGGTAATCGACGCGGAGATTCATAACTATAAACCTTACGAAGAAAATATTAGACCCCGCTAATACTATAAGTACTACTGGTTCGGGCACGTCGCAGCCGTATATAGGTAGGATATAGTCTACGGCCGGTGCGGAACCGTTCCCTATACCACGGGTGACGAGAAATATAAGGAGACCCCGCGCTATACTACGTGCGGAGGGAAGCACGAGGCCTGGTCGAGAGTATGCCACGCGGTCGCCGAATAACATACCCGAGCCCTGGCCGCATATAGAACGAGACCGACCCGATTCTAGAATATCGCCTATACTACCTTTAACCTCCGCGGGACCTAAGAACCTAGAGAGACCGAGACCGAGGACCTAGTCGACCTTACTATATCCCCGAAGAAGCGGAAGGTAAACAGACGCTTACCGACTAGGACCGTCCTAGCCCGTTCCGGGAGCTAACTTACGTAACTCCGCCTCGACGGCCACTTCTGTATAAGAGCTAACGCGGAACCGGTCAGGAACTAGGCCGGAACTACCCCGGATAGCATAACCATAGATATACCCTCCTCCGACCCCTTCGTATAATAGAACTTAATATTCTTTATTAGAATACGAATAAGTAAGGACCGAACTCGAGTATAGTACTTAATAACTAGGCCGGATACGACCTAATTACGCTCTAGGAACCGAATATCGAAGGGAGCATATAGGAACTAAAGCGGCCCCTGGCAAACTACTATAAGGTGTGGGGAGGAGATAGGAGAGTGGTCACGTATATATACAAGCGATATAACCTCGATACGTGGTTATCCGAGACAGGGGAAGACTAGATCCGGGTCGATATCGGCCAGAGATCGATCTTTAATATCTACTAAGACTAAAGCGGAGGAAGCCAGAGACCGACCCGCGCCCTTAGCGGTAAAGAACCCCCGAATAACCTAATCGTGATAAGAGACTTTAACGCCTATCATCCGCTCTAGGACCGGTACGAAAGAGAGTCGGATAAAGCACGGTACCTCCTCGACTAGGCAAGGAACTAGGGGCTCTAACTAGTCACACCGAAAGGGGAACTAACCCGGATCTTTAAGGGCTAGAGGGACGGGATAATCGACTATTACTAGGCAGCCCCCTCTACCTTTACACGATACCTTAGCCCTACGCTGTTCTTAGGATTAGACCATATCCCGTAGCTTATCCGGACCGGAGACAAATAGCGCATAAACTAACACACCAAACCTAACGACCTAGGCGTGAATTAGAAGAAACTCGACACTAAAAGGGCAGAAGCCGAGGCATAGGTCAGGTTTCGGCCCGAGTACTAGCCGGACCCGGCTAACGTAACGCTACTCGACTATAGCATACACAAGCTCACGACCATACTCCAGGAGATCGCTAGGGTAGCGACGCCGAAAAAAAAAGGGGGTTTCCCCGGGTTAGTCCCGTAGTATAACCGGGCTGTATATACAGCCGTCGAAGACGCTAAAGAGAAATTATAGCGCTATTATCGAACCCGGACCTAAGAAGCGTAAGAGGAGCTTTAAGAAGCGTATAAGACCCGGGACCGAACCGTAGCGGAAGTATAGCGAGAGTCCTAGCGGACGGCACTACGAGACGCCGCGGATAAAAGGGACTCCCTTTAGAGATTCGAGAAATAGGCCAGGCTCCGGAGCGGATTACCCCCGGAACCGCCTAGAACGCCTAACCTAACCACCCCTACAGGAACCGTAAGAACACACTCTTAGAAAGCAAGGGCACTAGCTATAAGGTTCTTCCTAACTATTCGAGTGCCATGGGAGGACAGACCGGTCACGAGGAGGACCCGGCCAGGACCTGATCAGGAGCCACCCTAGATTATCACATAGGAAGATATTAAAGTAATCCTACGGAAGCTTAAACCATAGAAAGCGCCCGGAAAAGACAGTATACTAGCAGGGCTACTTAAGGCGTGTGGTAAGCCACTCTAACGACTACTTAGTAGACTAGTTTCGGCTAGTTTCCGGCTAGGATACTTCCCGGAAGCGTTTAAAGAAGTAATCGTGATCACGCTACGAAAACCAGGAAAAGACCAAGCTAAACAAGAGGGCTAGCGGCCTATCTCCCTCTTAAGTATCCTCGGTAAGGTCTTTAAAGCAGCGATACAATAGGTCGTGTCCGGGACAATAGAAGCCCGGAACCTCCTCTTAAACGGGCAGATAGGTAATAGAGAAGGCCGTTCTATAAAGGGAGCGATATAAATTATAGTTAATATAATTAGGGATTCCTAGGAGTATAAAGGGTATACGAGCCTACTCTAGCTTGACCTTAGCTCGGCGTTCGATAGGGTTAACCACTAGAAGCTCCTGAACTACCTAGAAGTATTAGGGCTTCCGGGCTAGATCCTAGGCTAGGTGAAGTCGTATCTTATAGACCGAAACGCACGGATTTACTTCGACGGGGAGCTTTTAGACCGATTCCGGACTAAATTAGGGGTGCCCTAGGGCTTACCCCTTTCCCTAGTCCTCTTCCTCCTCTACCTCACGGCCTTATACGATAGGCTCGAGATAGTTAGCGGAATAACGGTTATAGGCTTCGTAAACGATACGAATATCCTAGCGTTCGGGAGGGACCCGGAGGATACCCGACCCCGGCTCGAAATAGCGTGGAGGATCTACGAACGGTGGGCAGAAGAGTTTAGGGCGATCTTTAATCCCTAGAAGAGCGAGCTTATATACTTTACGAAGAAGAAGAGACCGGCGGTAACGACCAGGATCCGGGCCGGAAACATAACGATTCTACCGATAAATAAGGTGCGATTCCTCGGACTCTAGCTAGAACGGCACTTATCGTAGAAGCCACACCTAAAAATAATAGGCTAGAAGATAGACCGGCAACGACGCGCACTCTTAGCGATTACGGGCAGTACCTGGGGGATGCCAGTCCTACAGGCTAGGGAGATCTACACAAAGGTTATCAGGCCTACGATCGCCTACGGATACTATGCCTACCACGCCCCGACTAAGATAAACAGAAAGGCGCGTAGAATCGGGGCGGAACTAGACAGGACCTAGGCCGAGTGCCTAAAGGAAGTCCTCGGGGCGTACAAATATATAGCAAGACGACACCTCGAGACCGAAACAGGAATACCGCCTATAGATCTTTACCTTAACAGGCGCTCCGCCCAGGCCCACGACCGGATAAGGACCGGACTTATAAAGGTAGCTAGGAAAGCCACGAGAGCCTAGATCAAGCAAAGCACTAGGAGGATAAGGGAACTACCCGCTACCGAGGGATCGGGCCGGTTCCTGGCCGACACTATAAAGTAGCTCGAGGGCCATAGTAACGCCTAAGAAGCCTACACTCAGGAGTGGATCAGGAGGTGGGAGAAAGGGGCACGCGTTAGGAGAAGGAAGGCGGGACCGGATAGACACCCGGCTAATTACGAACCGTTCGTAAAGGAAGCGATCTCCCGCTATAAAGGACTCCCTCGATATACCGCGTCGTATACGGCCTAGATCAGGACCGGATGCCTCGGTCTCCGAGCCTTCTTATTTCGAAAGCGTGTGCCGGATATACTAACCCTACTATACGACTGCGGTAAAGGGAAAGAGGACGCCTTCTACTTAATCTTATATTATAAGAGCGTTTCTAGGCCGGAAACGGGCTAGATAAGGACCGCATAGGACGTGCGGTAACGAGCCTACACCTAACTAGGACTATAGCAAATCACGAATTAGCTCCTTATAGTAGCTAACCTAGAATAATTCAAACTCGCCCGCCAGCTCGACCTTGCCTATAACGAACGAAAACGAGGCCAGGAATAAGAGGAAGAATAATAGATACGCTAAGGCTTAAGGAAGGACTATAGCACAGAAGGAACCCACGGGGAATACGTAAGGATCTAGGCCGGATACGGCACGGATATACATAAGGCACTAAAAACCATAACTTAATTCACCCTGCCACGGCAAGGCCGGGCCAGCCCACAAGCAAAACTAAACTACCACACCAAACACACCCAGGATCCGGGCCGGATCCGTATAGAATTAACTCAGACAGCAGCAGCACGTCCACGTCCACGGCCACGGCCAGGACCACAGCCACGGCCACGACCACGAGGAGCCGGCTTACATCCGCCCTGGAAGGGGGCCGGAGCCTTGCTAGCAGGCTTGCCCTTGCCCCTAGGCTTAGCGGCAACACGGCGCTTGTCCTTCACCCCCACCTCCACTAACTCATCCTCATCCTCATCCTCTTCTTCATCGGCCTAAGGCCGGGGCGGAGCAGGGGCGGTCTTCCTCGACTTGGTGGGAGTCTCAGGCTCAGGGCGGTCGGCCATGGCGAGGGCGGAGCGCTTTCGGGCCGAACCCGCACTACCAGAGCCACGAGCGATGGCGCGGAGCTCGATATAGTCCTAGAGGGCGTCCTGGAGATCTTGAGGCCGGAAATGTCAGAACATAGTTATAACCCGGGCCGGACACGGGACTTACCGCAGTAAGGATAGAGACCTCAGAGAGGTCGGGGTCGCTGGCAGCCCAGCGCAGCATGCGGCGAGCGATAGTGGCGCCAGCATCGGCCAGAGGGCCAGGAGGAGGCTACGAACGGGTCAGACGAGAACACAGCAAGGATCCGGGCCGGATACGCACAGGAAGACAGCCACTAGCGCGCTGGTAGCGACAGTCGGAGCAGGAGCCAGAACCAACTAGGAATACGTTAGTACTGGCACAGAGACGCCACGAAACCGGGCCGGATACGTACAGTACGTGAGGCAGAGGCGGAGGGCCTCGCGATCGTCGGGACGGAGAAAGAAAAACGCGACAAGGGCGTTCAGGCAGTAAGTACACTAGCGGTCAAGCACACGCGCGGGACCGACCTTATTAGGATCCTATCTACGACGAGGAGGGCAGCGGTCGGACATAGTGCGGGCAGGGTCCGGGCCGGATGCGCGCAGAAGGTAAGGAGAACGATTGAAATCTTTAGCTAGAGTAGTGAGGGGCAGAGGGCGATAGCGGCGCGAATCCGGGTAGGAAACACGTAGGTATAAATATAAAGAAGAAAAAGAAAAGGAGAAGGGGAAATAGAGGGGTAACGTATAAGTAAATAAAGTTTACTTAAGGTGGGGGCTGACTTAGCACGAATCCGGGCCTGATCCCCCCGGAACCCTACCATAAAGGCAGAAGTCCGGCAAAATATCGCATATAACAGGATCACGATAGATACGCGGGCGGAATCGGCCCTGGTACAGGACTGGCACTATAGAAGCTAGTATCTTATTTTATATTTTATTATAGTAGATAGAGGAGGACTATACTAAGGTTTTTGCTTAATTTTTCCTTAGGAATATATAGCCTAGATAGCCTAGCTAGCTAGCGAGAGGCACCCGTAGGGGCGTATAATTTATTATTATTATTATAACTTGATATCTAGCTTCGAGATTATATATTCTATATTTAGAGGGGTAATTCTAGCCCCTTTAAAGCCTCCCTTAATACTACTTTCGGTTAATATAGCTCGGAATATAGCGTAAAAAGCGTAAAGAAACTTAGTCTTTAAAATATATATTATAGAGTATTTAATTAGATACTCTATTTCTTAAATATATACTATTTTAAGCGGCCTAAAGTAGCCTATATTAAGAGGCTAGAGTAAGTAAGATAAATAAGGAGGTATATAGAGCGTAATAATCTTATTCTCTTTATAATTGTTACGGTTCTACCAGTTGCTAGCGGCTGGGTACAAGACCCAGCCCAGTTCACCCAGGCACGTAACGCGTGCCCACGAGGACGCACAGACCTCGCAGGGTCTTCGTAGGAAAGGGGGACCGTAAATTCCCTCTTCTTTCTCTTTTCCTACCTTATCGTTAGATAGACTCAATCTAAGCTACTAAGTTATTCTAATAGGGCTTAGCCCATAATATATCTAACGATCTATCTAACGACGCAGCGTATTCGTATAGCACGAGCTGCGATATCCGACGAACAAACATTCGACATACCCTCGTAAGTAACTATATAAGTTACCGAGCAAGTAAATACCTCGCTCCGGCCGATATAAGAGCGGATCGTAGAGCTTTCGTAACTTATTTATAGCAGGCTCGTAACGCCTGCCCCTTTACAAGCTCCCGAACAAGACACGCCTAAATATCCTATACCCGTCCCCCCCGTCGTTATCGACGTAGTGCCCGACGAGGTAACTTAGGCTAATATTCCGACCGAGGCGCCCCCCGAGCGAAGACCTAGCGGCCACCCTATAAGGAAGCTACTAGCGAACCCTCTAAAGTTCTCGGGCAATACTAAGGACTACGACCTCTAGAGAGTCTAGATAAAGGATAAGCTCGAGCTAGACTAGAACTATTTCGACTCGTAGCGAGAACGCTAGTACCTTATTAATAGCTACCTAGACACTAACGCGTAGCGTGTCGTGCGGGCCTGCTACGAAGTAGGGGAACAGGCCGACTAGGACCCCTATAAGTTCTTAGCCTACCTCGATCGGTGCTACGCGGATCTGAACTAGAGCGCACGCGCTGCGGAGACCCTGCGTAACCTTAAGCAAAGCGAGATATAGTCCTTCGCGGCCTTCCTGCCCAAGTTCGAACGTATTCTAGCGGAAGCCGGCGGCGGCCTCTAGACCGATAGCGCCCGCCTCGCCTTCCTATCGGGTGCGATAAGCCAGCGACTCCGCACCGCACTCGTCCCCGTGGATCTCCCGGATAACTATAGCGCTTAGGTCACTAGGGTGCAAGGGGTTACGTGGAAGCTCGAAAGTGCCGATAAGGGCGCGAGGACGTAGTTCCCCCGTAGGAGGGCCGCACCCGAGGCAAACCACGCGTATACCCCTAGGGATAGCGATAGCGACGTCCGAATAGGCGGCGTTAACCGCCTGTTATAGCGAGGTAGCCGCGCCTCCGAAGTCCGGGTGCGGAAGCTAATTACGTGCTAGTCTTATAGCTAGGAGGGCTATATTAAATAGGAGTGCCTGTCTCTAAGGGTCGCCGCGGTCTCGCAGGAGTCTCGTAGCGATAACAAGGATAACGAAGAGCCGGATACTACGGCGGGAAAAGTATAGCCCCGAAGCGAAGTCAGGCGTTAGGGCCTACGAGAGCTGAGATTACTCGTTAGAAGAGGTTTAAGAGTCTATTAGGTAGTTCTTCGTTAAATATATAGGTACGAATAAATAGCATTCACGCTACGAAGGCCCTGATAGACTCTGGCTATGACTGCTATATAGTTATAAGCGAAGACCTTATAACGAGACTTAGCCTCCCGCTAGTAGAAGAGTATTCCCGCCCCTTAAGGGGATACTCCGAAGAGATAAAGCAAGGAAAAAGCAGCGGGGTCGTAGTACTAATAGTAGAGATCTACGGCTTCGAAGAAGAAGTCTTTGCCTACGTAGTACCGGGTCTTAGCCAAGACCTATTTCTAGGCAACCCGTGGATAGCACGTAACAAGACCAGCTATAACGCTAGGAGAAAGCAGCTCTAGCACGGCCGTGTAGGGCTAGCGGTCCGCCTAGTTAGGGAGCAAGAACCCCGTAGAGTATAGGCGGTACGAGTGGCGAAACTTATATCGGGGAGCGTCTTCGCAGCAGAATGCCGGCGAGCACGATAACGTGAACTAAGGGACCCGGCTATTAGCGCGATCTCGTTAAAAGATATAGAGGACGCACTCGTACCGAAGACGCCGGTAGACCCTAGGGACTTCGTACCGGCCGATATCTTACGAGATTTCCCGAAGTTATTCTCGCCGGATCACGCGATAGAACTACCCCTATACCGACCAGGCGTGGACCACGAAGTATACCTAGTGCGGGATAGTAGCGGGAACGAAGTACCCCTGCCGTAGGGACTACTCTATAAGATATCGAGAGAGGAACTCCTAGTACTACGGAAGGTACTTCGAGACTTACTTAATAAGGGTTTCGTGCGGGCTAGTAGCTCCCCCGCGTCGGCACCGGTGCTTTTTATAAAGAAGCTAGGCGGCGGAATCCGATTCTAATGCGATTATCGAGCGTTAAACGCGATCACGAAAAGGGATAGATACCTACTCCTACTAATCTCGGAGACACTCCGTAGCTTATCCGTAGTAAAGTGGTTCACGAAGCTCGACGTAGTAGCCGCTTTCTATAAGATCCGGATAGCCTAGGGTCACGAGGAGAAGACGGCGTTCCGAACGAGATATAGGCTGTTCGAGTGGACTATATACCCGTTCGGGCTAAGCAGCGCCCCCGCTATGTTTTAGCGGCGAATTAACGGCGTCCTCCGAGAGTTCTTAGGGGACTTCGTAACTATATACGTCGACGATATCTTGATTTACTCGAACGGATCGAAGAACGACTACCTTACGAAGGTACGGCGAGTACTTAAGGCGCTCGCCGATACGGGGCTGTCACTCGACCCTAAGAAGAGCGCGTTTGCCGCGAAGAAGGTAAACTACCTTAGCTACGTGGTAGAGGCCGAGAAAGGAGTATCTTACGACCTAGAGAAGCTGCGAGCTATACGCGAATAGGAGGCGCCTACGATAGTAAAGGGAGTATAGAGCTTCTTAGGCTTTGTGAATTATTACCGCGGCTTTATAGACTACTTCTCCGATATAGCGATCCCGTTAGTAATACTTACGAAGAAAGGAGTTCCTTTCGTTTAGTCGGAGGGAGAAGATATAGCGTTCTCGGAACTAAAGCGCAGGCTCTACGAAGCCCTAGTCCTATAATACTTCGACACCGAGCGGGAAACCTAGCTAGAGACCGACTCGTTAGGATAGGCCATAAGAGCGACCCTAACCTAGCTAGACTCGTAGGGGAATCGCCGCGCTGTCGTATATAACTCGAAGAAGCTGTCGCTAGCTGAGTATAACTACGAGATCTATAATAAGGAACTCTTAGCTATTATATATAGCTTAAGAGCATAGAGGGCGGAGCTAAGAAGCTGCGAGTCCTTTGCGATACTCACGGACCATAAGAACCTTATATACTTCCTTACGAAGCGATAGCTTAATAAGAGGTAGGTGCGCTAGGCTATAGAGCTTTAAGAATATAATTTCTAGCTACGCTATCGCCCGGGGTACGAAGCCGCTGCGCCCGACGCGCTAAGTCGCCGTAAATAAGATATTCCCGCGGGAGAAGACAATCCTCGCACGCTCGGCCGCTTCCGGGAGATATTTCCTAGAGGCTCTCTATTAAAGAGCCCGCTTATAAGGATACTAAGGAGCGTCGAAGATACTAGCCCTTCGCCGCTCGCGGAGGGAACTAATATCTTCTCCGCCGATAAAGCCTTGGCGAACCTCTAGGACGAAACTATCCGCTAGGATAAGGTCTACCAGATAGTGCACCGAGCGGTATCGTAACGAGAGCGCTGCTTCCCCGCTCGCCTAGGACTTAAGGTCTAGATCGCGGAATGCCGGATTAATTCTAGCCGGCGATTGCTATTCCGAGATAAGATCTAGGTTCCGGGGGGCGCTCCCGGGGACGGCGTGGACGATACGGACAGGCTGCGTGATTAATTAGTGCAGAAGATTCACGAGGCTCTGTTAGTCGGCCACCCCGGACGGGATGC